CAGAACTCACACAACGACTGCTGCGTTCGTTTAACGAGATTATTCCCGCTGTGTCATTCGCAGAAAGTCAGAGCGAATAACTCCAGTTTCTGCCCACAAGCCGCTTTACATTTTCTCAATAGCCTTTTCTCAAAAGGACAAACGTTTGCTGCGGTCACAGCGGTGCTGCATTGGTCTGCTGCTCTCAGTTTAGCCGAGAGCCAAGCAGTATCAAACTCCACGACCTCCGACTCACATCCCAACACAGAAGAGAGAAAATACTGAAAAACAAACGGGAAATGGAGAGCAGAATCTCAGTTTGAATCTCATTTGAAAGCCAATAAAGACTTTGAATGGCCCAACAGAAGCAACACAGGCGTCCCATCACTCCCTCCAAAGGCTCTGGACACACACATTATATGTACACTCATATAAAGTTGAGTGCATAAGTTTGCAATGCATGCCCCTTTTGTCAAGTTTATAACCCCCTTTGAGAAATTATACAAATATAAGAGATACGATTATTTAAGTACTGCTCTTCTGAAACTACATAAGCTACAGTTGTGGTCAAAATTTTACATACACTTTACAGTATCTGCGAAATGTTAATTATTTTACCAAAATAACTGGGATCATACAAAATGCAAGATATGTTTTATTTAGTACTGACCTGAATAAGATATTTCACATAAAAGACATTCACTTATAGTCCACATGAGAAAATAATAGTTGAATTTATGAAGGTTCAGACGCTCACTGATGCTGCAGAAGGAAACACCATGCATTAAGAGCCGGGGGTGAAAACTTTTGAACAGAATGTAGATGTGTACATTTTTCTTATTTTGCCTAAATATCATATTTTTTATTTAGTACTGCTCTTCAGAAGCTCCAGAAGATACTTACATGCTTCCCAAAAGACAAAATAAGTTCAATTTACCCTGATCTTCAAATTAAAAAAGTTTTCACCCCCGGCTCTTAATGCATGGTGTTTCCTTCTGGAGCATCAGCGAGTGTTTGAATCTTTTGTAATAGTTGTGTTTGAGTCCCTCAGTTGTCCTCAGTGTGAAAAGATGGATCTCAAAATCATACAGTCATTGTTGGAAAGGGTTCAAATACACAAAATATGCTGAAAAAACAAAGAATTAGTGGGAGCTGAAGGGTTTTTCTGAAGAACAGCAGGCAGTTTAACTATTCAGGACAAACAAGGGACTCATGAACAACTATCACTAAACAAACAAACAAAAAAATCATTCAGGTAACAACACAGTATTAAGAGTCAAGCGCATCTAAACTTTTGAACGGGGTCATTTTTATAAAATCAACTATTATTTTCTCTTGTGGACTATATGTAAACGTCTTTCATTTGAAATATCTTATTCAGGTCAGTACTAAATAAAAAATAACATGCATTTTTTTTAAGATCACTCTTATTTTGGTAAAATAATTCACATTTTGCAGATACTACAAAGTGCATGCTAAATTTTGACCACAACTGTATTTACAAGACAAAAAAAAACACTTCTTCTGTTCTTCATAATGTGTTTCATTATTGTGCATCAGTGAATGTTTGCAGCTTTTGCAATGTTTGTGTTTGAGTTTCTCAATCGCCCTCAGTGTGAGAGCTGGATCTCAACATCGTACAGTTACTGCTAAGGGTTCAAATGTGCAGAAGATGCTGGAAAACCAAAGAATGTGCAAGACCTGCACGATTTTTCTGAAGAGCAGTGGACAGTTTAACTGCTCAGAAGAAATGAGGGACTCATGAACAACTACCACAAAACACACAAACTGGAATATGAACAGCATCAGAAGAACAAGGACGATGGAAACGTCTCAACAGTGTCAGTTCAGTTATTACCGTGTCTGTGGAATTATATGCAGATATCTGTGAAAGAACTTCATCATTTGGACTACATACAAATAAAATTACATTGTTATGGTCCCTCCAAATTTCTTCAACAATAACTATCATGCAGGTTCTTTGAAGTAAACTTACAGTATGTATTCAGCTATAAACTGGCAGAATAACTTATACATTAATATACATATGCATTTGCATAACATGTTGTGCTCACTACAGTTTTGATCACTATTGGGTCATTCCTTGTCAAATCAACCACATTTCAGAAACGTTCCAGCCTCAAATGTTTGATTTTGTCCATATGTTTTTCTGAAGAAAGATAATCATGTATAGTGATGAAAGCCAAGATAATAAATGTCATGGATGTATATTTAACACTCAGACATGTATGTTTTATGCAGGTGAGCGTGATTTCACCAAGTACAACCTGTTCCTGGATCAACATCCTTGTTGATCCTGGAACATCATTCCAATCAACCAATCAGAATTGAGGGATAACTTTTCAGGAAATGTCAGTTTTAGGCTTACAATCAGGATTAGGTGCTGCTACACCCTTGTTAATCAGCTATCATTTCCCTCTGATTTTAGGAATAAATTATGGGTAAGGTTAGGTTTAGGGGTAGGGATTGGGTTAAGTCTGTATTTTTGGACAGTAATGTTGATCCAGGAACATGTCTTACTTGGCAAAATCACGGCGACCGTTCCATGCAATTGTTTTGATTGAGGGAAACAAGCTTCATTTCTACTTTCAAAGTTTTTTTTTTTCTTAAGACATTTCCCTTTAAATACAATAAGCATCAGCTGAATGCAAAGTGACCCACATTTGGTTTTTGACCACTGAAAATGTGTTAAATTCAACTATTTACACTTGGAGCCATATTGAGATTCCAATATTGTTGAAATTTAACCATATAGAGTCTTAAAAATGAAGTTGCCAAAAAGAAAGTTTGTTAAGACCCAAAATCTAAAAGGGCATTAAAATATCTGTAAAACTTCTTGAGTTACAGGCATGCAAACTTTTGAGAAAAAACTTGAAAAGTGCTTTTTCCCATTTTTGAATGGTCACCACTGGCGTATAATGCAACAAAAATTGCTAAAGCCAATAGATTTTACTAATAGAGCTACCAATCTCTGTGAAAAAATTATGTGATGATGCTGCTATCTTTCTAAAGTCATTTTTAACCCCTGTAATCCAGCTCCGAATCTCAGGTGAAAACTCACC